GGTGCTCGCTGCGCCCGCGGAGCGCTCGCCGCTCCTGACGCTGGGTTCGTGTTCTGCAGAGGGGCCCGTGCCGGGAAGGGCGCACGCGCTGTGCCTGGAGTAAGCGCTCCCGGCTCGCGGAGGGGAGATCATCCGGAGCTTTGACTGCTGCTGTGACAAAGAGGAGGTGCTGTGTCTCCTGGAGCCGATGCTCTTCAGCCCAGAGGACAGTAAAGGGTCTCCCACTGTCACTATTTCATGGGTCACTGGGGTTGGGCTTCCTGAGAAAAAAAATAAAGGGAGAAGAGCCCGTCAGGAGACCTGAAGCTGTCCCGCTCCGTGTGCACCAACGCCTTCTGGTGGGACACGAGGGACCTGCTCAGCCCAGGACCAAGACACAGAGCCAAAACAGACACAAACCAAGCCCGAAACACACCCAAAACAAACAGAACAACACCCCCAACCGGGACTCAAGGCCAACAGCGCCCGCGATACCTGCAGAGGGCAACGGCCGAGAGCCGGGCGACCTCTGTGCCGACGGGTAACTTGGCGTCCGGATCCTGGGACCCTTCGGGACTGCTGGGTAGTAACAGGAACTCGAGGTCTGGGAGTGCAAGGGACGATCAGGGGACGGTGGGTTGACAATTTCGGGTGTACTCCGGCTGTCTTTAGGGAGTGTTTCTGTTGATGCATACAAGAGAGACACGGGCTCTATCCACGACCCTCTGGCAAGGATATCCTACGGCACATCCGGACGTGCCCGAGGGATTACCTGTGAGGGGAACGGGGCTGTGGGCAATTGTCCTGTTGTCATCGTGCTCTACGGTGCTGTTGATGTCAGGTTCTATGACCGGAGGCCGGCACTCCATGATCCTGCAGGTGTACACACAGCGCTTCCGGGCATCCGTCGTGCTCCAGTACACCCTGGAGCACCTGCAAGAGGATCCAAATGGGAAACCATTTACCCACCAGTCAGGTAAACCTCAGCATTCCCATTTTCCAGTCTCAGTTTGTCTAAACTCCGCGGGAGCAAGGCTTCCCGGCACACTGTGCTGCAGCCCAGCGTAATCGCACTGTTCCTGAGCGGTGTGGGAGAGCTGCAGCCCCTTTTCACGCAGGTCACTTCCGCCCTGGTTGGGCGGCTCGTATACAGAGAGACAGCTGAGGATGGAACAGCTCATACTCACTGATAGCCGATGGGAAACAACTTGTCTTCGCAGTCCGAGAGGTCGTTCAGAATTCCCAGGCAGTCTATGGTCATCGACCCTGAGCAGAGAGAGGAACAGGAGAGTTCTCCGAGCCACATCCCAGCACCAGCGGTGGAGCGGGCGTCCGCAGACTAGACCTTACCAATCATCATGTGGATGTTCTCCGGTTCCAGGCCACTAAGGAATTTTCTTCTCAAACTGATCCCTTCAAAGTCCACAAACACTCTCCTGAGGACTTCGAAGCCATTCTCGGGAACCACCTGGAGCAGCCACCCAC